GCGGGGCTGAGGCTCCGTGCTCGGCGCCGGCCTCGGGCGGGCCGGGACCGTCTATGGCTTTTCCGGGGACAGGAGGCGGCCAGCCCAGCCCCGCCCACGGCCCTGGGGCGGCGGGGGCGTGGCCTCAGGTAGGGGATGTGGCTTCTTCCTTGTGTCCGGATGGGCACCCAAAGGGGCGGGGCTTCCCCCTCAATTCTCGCGAGGGCGGAGACACGCCGAACGCAAGGCACAGTCCGCTCAGCAAGCCCCGCCCACCCCGCGCAGGCGCAGTACCGCCCGCCCATCTTCCCGCGCTACTGCGCAGGCGTGGCGCCGCCCTCCTCAGCAGAGCGCGTGTCGGACTTGAGCTTGACGAACTCCTTGGCCACCTCGTCGTTGCTGCGCTGCGAGAGGATGCGCAACACCGTGAGGCCCGTGTCGTCCATGTGGATGCGGCGGCCGAGCGGCAGCCAGCAGGCGGCGCTCCCGCGCTGGGCCAGCTCGCGCAGCTGCAGCACAGCCAGTCCCACCGTGCGGTCCTCGCGCGCGAAGCAGTAGTCCTTGACGCACACCTGCAGCTCGTAGCACTCGGGGCCTGCGTCGGCGCTCAGCGTGCTGGGGCGAGGGGCGGGGCGTGAGCAGGCTCCGCCCACCGGCCCGCCCCACCCCGTATCTTAGCTACGAGGCGCCCCTGCCGCCCCACACCGAGCCACGCCCACTGCAGTTACCCCACCCCGGGATCGCCTCGGCTCCCGCCCACCCTAGCCCCTGGCAACTCACCCTCCCACCCTGACTCTGCCACGCCCACGCTGACCCCCTACTTGGGCTGCACCCACCTCTCAGGACCGTTCTGTCGCTCTGTCCCACCCGCTCAACATGCCCCGCCCACGGCCGCCTCCTGGAACCACCCGGCCCAGAGGCCACTCTCCTGCCGTGCCCTCCGGGATGTGCCCTCCTCCCCTTGGGCGCGGCTCCCGCCCTTCCGGTGCTGGGGCACGCCCAGGCGCCTCTCGGGTCTGGCGGCCCTGAGCTCCACCTAGCAGATGCGCCCCAGCACCTCCCGCGCCTCCCTGACTCACAACTGGAAGCTCTCGTTGTACTTCGGCGCCCAGCTGTTGTTCTTGGATTTGGTGGCGAACTTGCGCTTCTTATCGCTGAGCTGGGGCCCGATGATGTTGACCTCGATGAAGGGTCGGAAGATGCCGGAAGTCTGCCACTTGAGGTCATTGGCAGCCACCACTGCGGTGGGGTGTGGGGGAAGACCGGTCAGGACGGCTCAGCGTGTCAGAACTAGACCTCTATGACGGTTTGTTTTTGATTTTGACACAGGGTCTCGCTATGTAGTCCAGGATGGCCATGAACTCACAGCAATCCCCCTGCCTCGGCCTCCTGAGTGCTGCGGCTACAGGCATGTGCCACTGCACTAGGCCATCTGTGATTTTTCTAAACTGGTCTCAAATGAACTATATTTCCCAGCGTGTCCGCCTAAGTGCGATCATGTGACCAAGTTTCAGCCAATGAGATCTGAGAGGAAGTGACGCCTACAACTTCTGCTGCACTCTGCAGTGTTTCTGGGGCTCTTTAGAAGAATGAAAATCATTAGGGACAAAAGCACGACAGAAAACGGCAGCAGCACCCCCCCCCCCAAACCGGAGAAAACCCCTAAAGAAACAGATTCGCTGGACCCAGCCAGGGCTGCAGCGGGCTCGCCTCTGCTCTGCCCCGTTTTCTGAGCCATAAAAAGTGTAATCCAGAAACAACGCAGCGGCCCCACCCCTCCGCCACTCACCTTTCACCGTGACCTTTTGCTCCCCGGTTCCTGGGTGGGTGAAGAGCTCCACGTGGACGGAGACTTCGCCCACAGGGTCGTCCACGCCCGAGCCTGGGTGGGGCGGGAGAGAGCCCCAGTGAGCGCTGTCCTTTCCCGCCCGCAGGGCGCCCGCCCACCCCGTGCTAGCGGCAGCAGGTCATCAGCCCGGACAGGGAGGTGCCGGCAGGGCTGGTCGCGGGAGCCCCTGGGAAGCCAGGGGCCGGGTCTGGCTTTGCACTGCACTGTCGCGTGACCTCAAGCAGACGTCTTAACCTCTCGGAGCCTATCGCACCTCCTTCCTCTTTCTCTTCAACCCAGCCCCCTCCAGCTCACGGGCCTCCTCGGGCTCCTTTAACACTGCCAAGAACCCGCATTTCTGCGGAAGGGACGTTTGCTTGGGAAAATCGTTCTGCCCGACTCGATTCCCTCCTGATACAGAGCCGCACGCTCACGCAGACCCCGTGGCTCAGGCAGTGTGGACTCTGTTGCTGAGTTCCCCGCTAAAGGAACCACAGCGTCCAATCAAGAGTAGACCCTGCCCGTGGCTGCAGGGATTGGCTCGGAGATGGTCATGTGACCCGAGCTGGGCCAATAGGAATTAGGTCTGGACTTTGGCTAGAATGTAAGGAAGTGAGTCTCCCTCTGGTGCTAAGTGGGCATGCTTTCTCTGCCCAATGAGTGGTAAGCTCGCCCCAAGGGGTTTCCATGGAGACCAATGGCCAATGGAGACAAGGTGCGACAGCTGCGTCAGAGACTCTGGATCCAACTACTCCTGACGCCAGTTCATGCCGGAGCTTTCAATTCCACAGCGCACAGAGCTCCTGGTCGGTTTGAGTCATGGTGATTTTCACTTCTCTTTCTGGCCTCCATTAAGTGTCCTGAGCGGTCCTGTTGGGGACTGTGGACCCGTGGCCACCAGCACCCCCACGAGCCCGCCCCCGGCCCCAGGCACCCCCACTCCTGGGACACCCCATGCAGGGGACAGGAACAAGGCGAGTTGGAGGTGAGGGTGGGGTGGGTCAGTCGCGGGTTGGTCTGCGTTGCTGCGATGGACAGGAAGTGGCTGAGGGCCAGGCGCAGAGGGAGACCCCGTCCCCCAGAGCGGGCCGGCCGCGGTCGCCGCCCACGCCGGCTGCCTTCCTCGTCGCCTCAGGCTCCCCCCTCCCCCGTCACATGCTCAGCCTGCCCTCCCGCAAGGCCGATGCTTCACAGCAAGCTCAATCCGGGCCAGACTGGGGTGCCGGTTAGAGTGGGGTCGGGTGAGAGGTCAGACCAAGGCCAAGGCTAGTGAGAAGGCGAGGGGCAACGCTGCGCCCTCCCGGGGTTTGCTGGCTCCACGGGGAGGGCTGTCTCCTGGGTGGCTGTGTTCCCCAACCTCACACCCCGCTCCCCGCGCCCAGGCCCTGCGGGAAGAAGGCGGCTGGGCAAGTGGCTCCGCCTCCTCTGGCCCTCAGCTGTCCTCTGTGTGCAGCGATGGGCGCCCTCCTCGCACTGCAGCAAAGTACTGATTTCTGTAATTTTGCGGTACTGGGGACTGAACGCCCGAGCTGCGTCCCAGCCCTTTCTAAGTTTCTTATTTTGAAACAGGGTTCCGCCAAGTTGCTAAGTAGCCCAGGCTGGCCTCAAAATCGAGATAGTCCTGTCTCAGCCTCCCAGAGTGCTGGGATGACAGGCATCTTGCCTGGCTGTGAGAAATCTTTTGGGGCCTCTCAAGAAACCCTTGGCACTGGGCCTGGCTTGGAGTCAGAGTTTGAAACAGTCGTTTTCTACTCTGAAAAACATGACATTGGAATATACCAATTGCTTCGAGTTTACCATGTGCCAGGAACTGTTCCAAATTCATTAATTTATTTATTTAGGTTTTTTGAGACAGCGTCTCACTATGTAACCCAGGCAGGCTGGCCCTGAACTCGAATCGATCCCCCTGCCTCAGCCTCTTGAGTGCTGGGATTACAGGTACTTGCTACCATGCCTGGCCGTTCTAAATTTCATTCCTCTAATCCTCAAAAAAAATCCCGTGAAGGAGGGTTCTTGCCTGTCTGCATTCTACGACCCGGACACCAAGGCTCAGGGAGGCGGATTCTTGCCCAGCAGCGCCCAGCATGCAGAGTGGCCAGGCCAGGGTCGGAGTCTAGCTGTGTGTGCGTGTGTGGGGCGGCTCTGGGGAATGAGCCCAGGGCCTTTCCACTGAGCTGCATCCCCAGACCTTCATTGTTTGAGACGAAGTCTCAGTAAGTCACTTAGTTGCCCAGGCTGGGCTGGGCTTGAGGATCCTCCTGCCTCAGCCTCCCAGGGTGCTGGGATGCCAGACCTGCGCCTCCAGGCCTGGGTCCAGCTCGCGCCCGTCTCGGGGAGAGGGCGTGCACCTGGCGGGGCTCTTGCCCTACGTGGAGCCAGCAAGCCGTCCTTCGCCCTGCGGGCCGCGGGAAGGACGGCCTTCTACTAGCGGCCGGCGGGGGGCGCAGGCACCGGGCACCGGGCGCGGCGGGCACGTACCCTTCTCAGGATAAGTGTCTTCGCTAAGGGTAAACCTAGTTCCCTTGCCACCGTGGACTAACGGGGCGGGAGGGGCGGGTGGGGGCAGCGAGGGGAGGGGGCGCGCGTGGGGGCGGGGCCGGGGCAGCCAGCGACAGGGAGGAAAAACAGAAGAGAAGAGAAACGTCAGCGGGGACGCGGACCGCGCGGACGCCTCCCGCGCCGGGACGCCGGGAAACCGAGGCACGGCCCAGAGGGTGGCTGCGGGCCGGAGGCCTGCCCCAAGGGGCCAGCTCGGAACAGGGGCTGCCCAGGGAGGGGACCTGGGCCCTGCTGCTGCGCGTGAGTTCAGCGGGAGGCGAGACAGAAGCAGAGAAAGTTTGACAAACAGGGCGCCTTCCCAGCCCCCCGCCCCCTCGAGCTGCCAATCCCTCATTGGCCCAGGGCTTCCGAGGGCCCGCCCGCCCACCGCTGTCAATCACCCTGCAGTTCCCACGCCCCAGAGAGCCCTCCCCTGGAGCTGTCAATCACTCCCGCTCCTCCCCAGGCCCCAAAAGTCAAGGACTGTGCCCGCAGATGAGCATCACCTCGCTGCCTACGCGGTCACGGGTCCCACCCCCGGGAGCTGTCAATCACCCCAGGTCTGGAGTCAGAGAGGTCCCGCCCGAGGCTGTCAATCACCGCCCGTGCCTCGCTGCCGGGCCCCGCCCACACACGATGTCGCCCACCCATTGGCCCCCGCGTCACAGAGGGCGGGGCGGGGCGGGGCCTGCGCTCACCCTGCGCCGACTGCGTCTGCACGAAGGTCTTGATGAGCAGGTCGGTGGCCTGCGTGTAGAGCGACAGGGCGTAGCGCAGAGACTGCAGGTCGGGGCTCTTCTCCAGGAAGGTCTTCTTGAGGCCCACGCCCCCCGCGTGGAAGTATTGCTGTCGGCCACCGGGTGGGACAGTGAGGCCCTGGGCATCGGCCGCGCTCCTCGTGCGCCCCAAACCTGCCAGGCTCCCAGCACTCTGGGAGAAACGCCCGTCCTTCCCGCCCTCCCAGCCTGCTCTTGCAAGGTCCCTACGCAGCCTTGGCCCTTACCGTGCCCGCGGGTGGAAAGGCTCCTCCTGGCCCTGCCCTTTGGCTTTGTCTGGTGAACTCCTATACATCCCTCAAAACGCACTTCCGCATGCGCTTCTCCAGAGAACCCTCCGCTGCCCGTCCCCGGGCTGCCCCAACCCCACCCTTCCTGCTTGACAGGACTGGGGTGCTGGCACTCAGCCGTCTCCCGGCCGGGGCTCCTCAAGCCCAGCGCTAGCTCAGAAGGGGTCGGGGAGTGCTGTGGACGGAAGGGGTTAGTGTGGCCCGGGTGCGCCCAGGCACATCGGCACAGCGCCCGGCTCTGCCCGCCCGCCTCTCACCTTGATGGTGTCCAGGGCTAGCTCAACCACTGCACACTGCTTCGGGGTCAGACTCTTGGCCTCTTCTCGCACCATGTGGTCCTGGGTGGAGAGGGCCGGGTGGGCGTCACCCCGCTCGAAGAGCTGCGCTGGGGTCTGTCTCGGCCCCCAGCCTGTGCGCGCGCACGCTTGTGCACGCGTGACCCGGAGGCAGGTACACTGTGCTTTGAGCTGTGAGCGGGCTTTCTGCCCTGGGAGCCTGCAGAGCCGCCGCCTTCGGAGCCCTCTCCCTGTCCCAGGGGGCCGGGACACCTCTGAGGGTCCTCCCTGGGACGCCGCCGGGCCCAGGTCTCCGCTCCTCCTACCCACCCACCTCACCTTGAGTTTGGAGAGCTGGCCCAGCTCCTTGGCCGCGTTGAAGATCATCTGGGTCCCCTGCAGGTGACAAAAGGTGCAGCGGGCATGAGGGGGGCTCCCCTAAGCCGGTCCCCAGCCGCCCGCCACGCCCTAGCCCTGGGCCCCGTCTTGGTTTTTGTCCCAAGGTCTGGGCAGGGCTGTGGTTCTTTCCGAGGCACAGAGGGCTGGGGTCCCCAGAAGTGGGAGCCCCGGTCCTGCCGACTCACCCCCACCACGACCCTGGGCTTGTGGGACAGAGGAGCACGGTGGGTCGGGCTGTGTGGGGCCGTGTGGGGGACCCCAGATGGGGTGGTCTGGCGGGAGCTTGAGTTAGGGGGCTTGGGGCCTCAGCAGGTGCCCCAGGCCACCCCTGGCACGGGCGGCTCTTAGTCTGACTTTAAACGGCAGCATCCGCTCGGGCCCCACCCCCACTGCCCCCCAGCGACCCCTCAGCCTGAAAACTCCGTTCAGGCTCTGGCCGGTGGGGTGGGCCTGGGCTCAAGTCCCGGCTCGGCCGTGTTGCCCTCCGCAGATTACTTAACCAGTCTGGCCTCGGCTTCCCCATCTGGATGGGGCCCTCACACCCACTCTGGGCTGCGGCTGTGCTCGGCGCTCCCCGGGACCGCTGCTGGCGTCCCGACCATGGCGGGGGACGAGAGGCCGGCCTCGGCCGCATGCGTCCCTGGCTGCCGGGGACTGCTAGCTTGGGCACCTGCCCCGGCCTGCGGACCGACGCTGACCCGCGACCAGGCCCTGCTGTGCTCACGGCCACTGCCGGCGGCTGCCGCTGTGCCCTCATCGCGGCGCTGGGATGGAGCCCAGGCCTGGCGGGGCCGCCGCTCTGCTCGGAGCCGCTCCGCAGCCCTGTCCTTGGGGTTTCCGGTGACCCCCGAGGCGTTACCGGCTCAGCTACCCAGAGCCCGCCGCCTGGGCCTGTTTGCTGCTGCGCCCACCTGCGTCTGGCCCCTGGGCACCCTCTGCCCTGCCCCCCGCCTTCCCCACGAGCAAGCCGGACAGACAGGAGGAAGTGACACACAGGACCGACGGCACGGACCACAGAGGTGCGGGGCAGGGGCGGCCAGACGGACATGGGGCCGGGCTTACGTCTGAGTGGCTTGGCAGTTTCGCCCTGCCCTGTGGAGAGAACCAGGCGGAGGTCAGAGTCCTGGGGGCCTGCGGGACGGCGGGGCGCCCCTGCCCTCCGAACGATGCCCGCGCCGCCTCGGCGCCCTCCCCGCCGGGCGGGGTCCTGCGGCCCCTCTGCTCTCCCACCCTGCACGTGTCCAGCTGGCACGGCCAGTTCGGTCAGCTTACACTCACACGGGCACACTTGCGCACGTGCCGCTGGCACGCTCAGAGCAACGCATCACAAGATACACGCAGCGCACTCGCACGCGTGCACGGCCCCATGCGCACAGCCTCGCCCTCCGGGAGCAGGCACGCTGGATGCGGAACAACGCGTCCCCGCGGCGTCCGCACGGGCCGGCGAGGAGCCCTGGGGCTGCCGCGAGGAGGAGCTGTGCACACTTCCGCTCACACGTGCACTTCTAGCGCTGGCCCTGAGAATCAGCTCCTCTCCGACTTCGGGCCTTGGGGGGCTTGGCCAGGGTGTCTGTCTCCTGCCATGAGCCCGAGACCTGCCTGAGCCTATGGACACGCCCACGCACACCCACAGACACGCGCACACCCAGACACGCGCACACCCACAGACGCGCGCACATCCACAGACGCGCGCACACCCACAGACGCGCGCACATCCACAGACGCGCGCACATCCACAGACACGCGCACACCCAGACACGCGTACACACCCACTGACGCGCACACACCCACTGACACGCGCATACCCACAGACGCGCGCACACCCACAGACACACGCACACAGACACGCGCACACCCACAGACACGCACACACACCCACTGACGCGCACACACCCACTGACACGCGCACACCCACTGACACGCGCGCACACACACCCGGTGCCACAGTTGGGGCCTCGGCACCTCGAGGCCTCTTTACCTTTTCTAATCCCTTGCCATGCTTTCTCAAGAGGGTTCCCTGCAGAGACAACGTCACAGGGAGGTCAGCCTGGCGGGCCGTGTGCACGTGTGCTCACGGGACGGGGTCTGTGCTGCACAGGGGCGACCCCTGGGGCACTGTGGGGGACTTAGTGGCTCAGTCTTGAAGGTGTAAGGGTCAGGGAGACGGAGGGCAGGGGAAGGGACAGGGAGAGGCCGGAGAGGGCCAGAAAGCGAGTCGTTGCCCACATCGACCCTGCTTATATTCATCGTTCCCGTGAAGCTCTCGGTTCTTGGGCCACAGGGAAGAAACTGGCTCTGCGTTGGGCCAGACCTGACTTTGCTTCTCGACTCTCACACCTGTGACTACACGGCCTTGAAAGCTGGAGGCTCTGAGGCTCAGCTTTCAGCATCTACAAAATGCGAGTGAGGATGTCCCCTTGCTCGTGGGCTTCCCACGAGGGTGACCTGAAGTGGCTGCTACGACGAGGCCTATGTACGTACAACCTTTCACAAACGTGTTTTTGTTTTTTGTTTTTTGTTTTTTTTGGTCTTTTAGAGGTAGGGTCTCACTATGCAGTTCAGGCTGGCCTTGAGCTCACTTTGTAGCTCAGGCTGGTCTCGAACTCGCAATGATCCTCCTGCCTCAGCCTCCCAAGTGCTGTGATTACAGGCACGTGCCACCACGCCCAGCTAAACGTGATTTTTCAATTGTACTGCGGCTTGAAATCGGGCTTTCACACTGAGCTACATCTGCAGCCCTTTTTAAATTTTTAAAAAAAATCTTGAGATAGTTTTGCTATATTGCTAAATTGCTCAACCTGTGCTCAAACTTTCAATCCTCCTGCCTCAGCCTCCCAGAGTACTGGGATTACAGGTGTGCACACCAGGCCCAGCTTCAGCGTGAAGGCCTCTCTTTCTGCCTGCAGGTGCACTGTGTGCCTTGATACCAGGTGGCCCGTTGAGTGACAGGACTGCACACCACCCCAAGCGGCTTCCGGGGGGACGGTGCCCTGTTCCTGGCAGCGGGCCGGTGGCCACGCCTGGGGCTCGCCGGCCACCTCTATCCTGGCACGAGGGGAGCCCCTGCCCACGGCACAGACGGTGGCTGTGAAGAACGCGCGTCCCAGGCGGGGAGGTGGAGATTAGGAGGCGAAGCAACCGCAAGAGGCCACAAGAGAGAGCGAGCGCGCGGCGGGCGGGGTGGGGCCCAAGTCTGCACAGCGCCCCTGTCTCCCGGCACCCCGGGGAGGGGGTCCTGTGCTCTTCGGACGGAGCTGGCGGCCCACGGTGCGGAAGCCCTGCCTGGCTTGGGGGACCCCGGGGCCCTGAGCAGGGGGAGGGTGGCCTGGGGGGCGAGAAGGGGTTGGGACGGGGGGGGGGGGCAGAGCCCGCGCACCTCCCGCTCCCGAGGTGGAAGGGGCGTGGCGTGGGTGTGGCCCGCCCCGGCCCCGCCCCCACACACAGCACAGGAGGCCACCGCCTGCAGGCGGGTCCAGACACAGAGCAGGACAGACAGACGGAGGGACAGACGCCTCTACTTACGATCATCTGTCAGCCGGGGGCGGTGGGGGGGAATAAGGCACCGTGAGTGTCAGCGGGGGAGGGGCGGGGATGGCACCAGGCGCAGACACCCAGCCCTGTCCTGCCCGGCCCTGTCCTGCCCAGCCCTGCCCTGCCCGGCCCTGCCCTGCCCTCCCCTGCCCGGCCCGGCCCTGCCCTGCCCTGTCCTGCCCTGCCCTTCCCTGCCCT